GATATATATATATATATATATATGTATATAAACATATACACACATATACATTTTTATACGCCTACTGTGCGCTGCTTCTTTTTTTCAATTTTTTTTAACCGGTCCCGATGTTCAATGAAACGCGCTATCTGTCGTAAAATTTTTCGCGAGAGTAAAAGCACTTTTTGTCTGCGTGGATGGTTAGATTGAAATGTACCTTTCGAGAAGTAGCGATAAGGAAGACATGATACTTTTGATGAGTTTTGTTTTTATTGAATGTCTATTATTGATATTGTTTTTTTCATTTTGTCACGTGAATTGATAAATTACTCATCGTAGAACTGAAAAATCATCGTCAAATGTACATTTTCTTAAGAAATATGATTCTTAAAATATTAGTACTTTTATTAATGGATAGCTTTCTCCAAGAAAAAGGACTAAAAATTTGCGTGATTATCCTTTTCGTTCCTAAATAAGAGGTCTTAATAGCGAAAAGGAAACTGCTTAAAACTGAAATTTTTGCAGAGACGCGATATTCTCATTATTCCGTCCTGGCATTTATACTTTATTCTCTGCTGAGCTTTGTATTTGTTTAATGACTTTTATGCATTTTACTGGACTTTCTTTTTCACTATTTCTGTTTAATTCATTCTTGAGTTATCAATAATTCCTACTATTATTAGAATATTTTTCGAAGAAACAATAATAACTAATGCAGATTGTCCGAATGCATACTTATTTTACCTTCACTATATAAAATAGGTGTGCTGTATTCTAAAAACGCAAATTGAAATTTGATATAAAATTGAAATTATAAAATCTGAAGGTATTTTATTTACGGATAGATGCGATTCTCCAAATAATTATTTAACTTTCATTCACGTGGTTGGAATATTATAAATCGAATGGACGATTGATTAATAAATCAAATGTACACACAAACTGAATTTTACTCACAACCGGCTAAATAATATAAATATTCTCTTGTTACAAGAGGATTCCTGAGATGAAATCTATTAATAAGAGAATTTCGTATTACTACATGAGTATTTGTTCAAAATTACTGCCCCCTTCTTATAAGAGTACCATTTTTTTCTCATGTTACGATGACAAATATATAGGGATATGGAACAAGTTACTGACTTTGTTCAAACTGGCACAGGTAGAAGTTACGACGATATACCTACTACTAGAGGAATTCTTTTATTGCAGAAAATATAATTTTGTAACCACAGGATTTTACTTAATATTATCCATCTCATACAAGAGGGCAATTTTTTCAATTTTTTCCGTGCGATTGTCTTCTCACTTGTTTACATCTTCATGTACCCAAGACTCAAAGTACCGACAATGTGAATATTTAACATTATATTTTTCTTGTAGTTTCCAGAAATTAACAAAATTCATTTAGAACCGACATTTTTGCATGGAAAACAAAGTTGTTATCAGTAAATCTACAAATCGCGTTTTATTTAAACATAACAGTAAATGAGATGACACATAAATTACTGATTATATAGAAAATATATTGAGACTGAGGAACTGTACAGAAAGATTTACAAACTTAATTAAACATTGTCAATCAATCTTCTTTCTAAAAAGACGAATTCGAACTAAACTGACTATGTTTTAATTGGAATTCGTAAAATTTTTTTTCTTCATAGAATCAATTATCGTAGCGAGAAATTTTTTGGGCATAGCTCGAGGATTTGGCTTTTAAACTGGCCCATGTTTTTCTTGAAAAACACATTCACCGAATAACAAGATATAATAGTCTCTAAAATGTAATAGAGCGTATAACCAATTGTATATTAATTTATGCAAATAAGCACTTCTACATATTTTAACAATTGAAAATGAACAAATGTGCATCTCGCGTAGTATACGATCGAATACCCCATAAGCAACTATAGATGAAAATTCAAGAACATACTGTGGAAGAGCTTTTCATAGTAAAAAAAAGACGATCTAGCAAAAACTTGGAAAAAGCCGACGTTTTCGTGAGAGGCAACGCTCTGCCCTTAGTAGCTATTTTGTACCTCATACACGTCGAACGCTCTTACAATTTGTGTCATGAAGCTGAAGCTTTTCTTATTAACCCTCAAAGTTTCCCGAAAGCCTTACCAGTGTTTTATTTTTATTAGGTGATAATTCCATTTTTCTGACTTGATTTTTTTAAAAAACGGTGGTTGAATTTCGAGAAGAGTCTGCGAAAGAACATATTTCGTCGTTTAATGAATTTTTTAGATAAATTTTAATACATTTATTTGATTATTTCATTAATACTTTATTAATGAGAGTGGTATATATTCAATTTTCGAGTTGTCAAGTCTATCTCAACTAATAGTTTGATTGTAAACATAAGAAAAATTTGATGCAGTGCAAGCCATTTCATTTTTTCGAGTTCTTAAAATGCTAGTACCGCTTGACTTTTCATGTCAATGCTTGGAATACGCAATCTTAAGTACTCAAACTATAAGGCGCATATCAAACCATATAATTTTTGAAGTTGTGTCACGGTTATTTTTACACAGAAAAAAATGTTGTTGGCCTAAAAGGTATCTTCCTGGAATAAGAGTATTTTCCAATTGTTACTTTTACGAAATGATTTCCTTTAGCAGTGAGTGGGTCCTCATTTTTTATTTGCTCAAAATGAAATTCTTGCACGTACAGGAGAATATTTTTCTAGAATTTGAAAGTTACGTGGAATCACTGATTTCAAAAGATCTCAAAATTTTAAGATTTTCAAGCATCTGCGTGATAATTTTGGCAAAAGCTTATACTCCATATTTGGCGTGCGCTTGTAAATAAAAGTAGCTGAGCGAATTAAAATTAGACTAAACTATTTTATATGATTTCAAGTTGTTTGCTAAGCTTATCAAGTCATGTACTTTGTTAAGGCTTTCTCTAAAGCCTCAAAGAAAATCATCATTTCTCTGGCATTTTAAGGATTAATTTAGTTTGAGATGTACTTTTGGAAGAGATCTTTAGTTACTTCCGTAAGGCTTATGCTAACGAAGAAAATGAGTCCACTCATGAAGATTAGGAAGATATTGTAGAATATTTGGCGTCGAAAATTGCTAAACAAACTTACACGCTTATCGTTAAGGACAGAAAGGCGCTAACGAGGTTAAATTAGTTCCGGAACTTTCGTATTATGGACTTGAATTAGCGATTAAAATTTTGAATCTCTACATAAAGAATCTGAAATTCTTCGTTTAGGAAAATGGTGAATAAAAAAGTTGAAAATTTAACCAACTATCAAGGGAGTTGTACGTATCGAGGTAGTCAATTCGCTCGTAACTTTGAGGAATATTATTGCGCCTGAAAATACTGTCCAAAATCATAGCGGAATAAGCCATCCAAAGATATAGCACTCCTTTGTAAGTGGTCTTTAAACCAAGAGTACTTCTGAACGAAGAGCTTGCCTTCTTGAGTGTTCAATGAAAGCATGAGCTTTCAAACTAGATTATTTGCGGATATTAAAATTTGTTTATTGAAAAATAACAGAAACTTAATGGATTGAGGAAATTCGAAAGGAAAATGTGAGTCTATGAAAGAAAATATGACTGCAGCTTGAGCCTTATTTGGAAACACAGTCTGCGGCTAAAGCTTAGAGCTTGAATCGCAAGCTGAATTCGGTTGAGGAGTTTATTCTCCGCTTTTTTCGAAATTTTATACGCGCGAAAAGCCGCTTCGGGTGAACCGAATCGCGGATCCTTCAAATGCGCGGCGAACGGAACCTAACTGCCTCCGACCGCAAGATTAACGACGTCGAGGCCGAAGGTGCTCTGGAAGCGTTTGTTTTGAAATGCATTGTCTGCGTGTAGGCGAGTTATATCGGTGTTAGCCGAGCGTGCAAAGCGTAAACAGGCCGCCGTGCTTGCGCCTCGCTCGCAGCAAACTGCGCGACGACCGTGCGCTCCTTCTGTGCACTGCACGTTATCTAGACATTGAACACCGAGCGCGCACGCTCGGGTGTTGCGCTTCTTTCCTTTCACTGTAGACGTTCTTCATCGCGGTTTGGCATCGATCGAGAATAATTTCTCCCGGAGGCGACGACGGAACGGCCAGTTGGACGACGAGGCGTCGAAATTTCGTCGACGCCTGGTACCAATTTTGGCAGCAATCAACGAAGCCGAAGACTCGGCGTTTTCTCCCGAAATCCAAAGGCGGAAGAGAGGGGGGTGGCGTCCAGAGCGAGAGCATTTTACCTGGTGGCAGCGATGGCGCGAGAAATTAACAATGCGGCAAGGAATCGTCAAGGAGCGAAACGGGGAGGCAGCGCGCCACGGTATAATATTGAAAAAAGGCATAATGGAAAAAGTCGCATTTTTATGAGGCGTCGCGGCGCTGGTAACGGAGAGCAGCGAGCCCGCTGAATAATGAAAAGCGCTCGGAATTTCCATAGCACTTTCATCAAGGCCGCGGCTCGAGATAAACGAGCGTGCGGCGCAGACGAAACATTCAAATTCGCACGTATCCCCGACGCGTGTCGGATCGCGCGGCCGGCCGTCCGTCCGAGCTGCCGCTGGCACACATCCTGCCGCCACGCTGCGGCCGCGTTTCTCTGCCGTCCCGGCTCTTAATTTTCCTCCTCGTCGTCTTTATCTGGCGGCTGGCGCTGCTCCACCCACTCGACCCGCGCGGGCGAGCTGGCTGCCTGCGCGCACACACAGTCGGGAGACGCGCGCGCGCGCGCGCGCACAGACGGGCGGAAAAAGGGGGCTGAAATTGCGACAGCAAAGAAAAAGAGAGAGGGAGAGAACCGAAGGAGGAGCTCGCTCGATCGTTCCGCTCGGCTAATAAGGTTCATTCCCGATACGCGGACGGCAAGAATAATTATGAGCTTGCGCACAAGCGACAAGCCCGCCGGGTTCCCTCTGAAATAAAGCCGGGACGACGGCGGCCTCCCTCCTCCTCCTCCTCCTCCTCCTCCTCCCACGAGGAAGCTCATCCCGCCGCCGCCGCCGCCGCCGCCGCCGAGCCTGCCACACGCTCAGTCTACCTGCGCCCGCGCTACTGCGAGCAAACGGATCGCGCGTCCGCCGATGCTCCCTCCTGCCGTCCGCCGAGCCAACGAATATACGGCATCGTCATTCGCACTCAAGGCGTTTCACTTGTGAGGCATGCGCCCTACAATCCACACGCACATTGATGTATCGCAGAGCACAGGTATCCTTCTCTTTTCTCGCCTGCGCCCACGACTCGCCGCGCCGTGGCTGTGCGGAGATTTACACCTTGATCCCTCGCACTGCCGGGGGATAGTACTTTACGAGCGAGCTTTCGCCAGTTCTTAGATCTACTCGCTTTATGGACTGCGAGTTTTTTTTTTTTTTCGTTTCCTTTCTTGTTCGTCGCCGCCTTGTTTTCTGTTTTTCTCTTGGAGAGAATTGCCTCTAGTGAATATTACTAGGAGATAAGGGAATCTGTTATGCTAAACTTTGCATTTCAATAGAGAGAGAGAGAGAGAGAGATCTTTTCTTTTCTCAGCTTTCTTTCTTGGATTTGGAATTCCATAGAAACTCTCGGCAGCCGCGTGCTCCGAAGAATACCTATCATATCGCGATGCCACGCTGCACTATGTGGCGTACGCGTGTGAAAAATCGAAATTAGCATGGCACGCGCGTGAATGGCTTCATTTTCGTTGGCGAATCAAGCATGACGGCGCGCGAGCTACCTCGGCTGCTCTTACGGGAGGAGCAATTCGGCGCGCGCCGACGATTATCACGCGACCTTACTGCGTCCACGTCGCGACGCCGCAATCAATTTGAATTCTTTATTGCAATCTCGATATCCACCCCAAGTGCAGTTTAACGAGAAAGGGAGCGGGAGAAAAAGATTGTTTTAAGATTTCCCCGAGGACCGACAAAAGTTCTCGCGCGCGCATATAACGTTAATTTCCTTTATGGGCTCTCGACGCGGATATCTCAATGTATTAAAGGCACACTTCGCTCAAGCCCGCTCCGCTCAGTTTTGCCCTTTGGCGATGTATATCTCGCTCCTCGTCCTCTTCTTTTGCTTTCTTCTGCTCTCCCTCTTCTCGGCCCTCTTCGCGGTCGTTTATTTGCGCGCGCGCGCGTTGCCGGCCTATATACCTTCTTTTCGCTGCCACGGACATTTAGCGATAAATGGTCCTTGCTTTTTTCTTTGTTTTTTATTTGTCGCCCTTTCTCGCCCAATGAAATATGTGCCACACTTTTCCTTATCTGACCACTCTGAATACTAATTCTTATCGAGAAATTATAGTGCCACGTCTGCGTCGAAGGAATAATATACGTGACGAGATTTTTCATGCGGACGAAGGGGGAGTGGGAAGGAGCTAGGGAAGAAAAACAGTTTACTTCTTCCTGCCGACAGTTTAAGACCTCGTAAAGTTGCAAAATTAAATATCTTTCCGCGAAGGAAACTGCCGCTACTATACCTCGTCCACGATAGCACTATCTAACTTTACGTTTACGTTCGCGCGGAATGCAAGAATTATTACAAAACGCCATGGTTTACTTGATCCGCCTCATAAAAAAATAATAGCTAGAAAGATCAACAATTACAAATTGACAAGCTTCTTTGTTTTTATTTAGTATGTACAGTGGTCTAGTTTATTCATAAATGGTCGAAAATTGTTACAATACATTCCTACAATGCGATGCCGTACAAACATTTTTGCAGTTCAAAGATACAATCTGTTGCGTAGCATCGATAAACTTTTTCTCTTGTGAAAGCTTTCTTGGTTTGCGAAATGACGAGTGGCTCAAATGAAAAACTAGCTTGGACGAAGAATTGAAAAACCTTTGTACAACCGTACAGGATAACAGAAAAAGTGAAGTAAATAAAGGATTCATGACGATACAAATGATAATTAGAAAGCATTAGCTTGCGGTCTGAAATCCATAGGTTGGCCGAAAAGTAATTAAAGTGATAAAGTTCTGATTACCGTGCATTTGGAATATTGCAACGCGATTAACGGCTAACGGGAGGGTCGAAACGGCACGTGTCGTATTGTGTAATTAGACAAAGACTTGATTATCGCGCAGATCGTTTAGCGCGCGTATAGTGGAAGCTTTCGCGGCACAATAAATTAACACTTCATCGACGTTGACGGGAAAAATTAAATTTAAATCCGGGAGCAATGAGATTGAGCGCGATTAATTGCGTTGAGTCTCATTAACGACCGCGTTGGAATTGGACTAGCGGAAGGTACACGCGGTTAGAACGTCTCGCTTTACCACCCCGCAATACACAACTCCTTTTGCAATCTTTCCATTGAAAATTGATTTACAGCTTTATCAAATTTTATAGACCGCTGAAGCGCGAATATTCTTTTTTTAATACTCCTGGCTTTGTGCTGTTGTATGCACGTACAACTTACGTGATATTATCATCGTAAATTTTTATTTATATCGATGCTTTCATATATAACCGAATAAGTTACTTTGAATGAAAATTCTGATCATGTCCCCGCTTCGTGGAATCGATAACGTGCTACTTTCTTTTGAATAAAAAAAACCTCCCATTTTTCTTTATTCTATTGAATTTTATGATTAACTTTTTTTGAGCGTAGATAAAATCGACGGCATGTTATAAAGAGAATGACGAACTCGAGTTGAGTGCACGATTCCTTGTCGTCTGTTATTTCATTAATTTGAAACGACATACAAATTCAATTAGGTGACATTTCTTGCAAACAACTTAAGAAATAGGTCAAACTAGATAGTACATGTGCTATCTGTTCGGACAAAGTATATCGAAGAAATATCCTAAGTAACTCAAAGTAAACTTTTGCGGGAATAAAGTGATTTGGAGAAAAAGAAGAAGTATGACAAGGGATAATGTGCCAATTTGTTCCGCTTGTCAGCTCGTGAAAGTTGAGCCGAAGAAAGAAAATATCAATTTATATCGGAGAACAGCGATTCAACCATTTAATGACTTTTAATAATCCAATAGCGGTAAACGTATTTTTTATGCATTCAATTTATTTCATCTCATTAATGAACATTATTATTTCAGTTGGTCTTCGTTTTTCCGTACGATTCCTACGTAGATGTTGTCGGTTTCCTTTTTTTCTTTACTAAACTCACGATACGAGAATCTAATGCATTTAAATGAATCTTGTTTCTTTCTTACAAATCGATGCTCTCATGTATTGCGATGAACGCGTTATTAGAACCAATAAAGGTGTTTTGCGACGCATAAAAAATAATCGGGAATGGTAAATAACTAAAAAGCCACGTGCTTGTTTTCTTGCAGATCTGGTTTCTTTATCTACTATGCATAATTCTGGCATATTTTCCACTTATTGGCGTAAGGGGAAGTATCACTACAGCCGACACAAAAACCTCGGACTGGTGCATTGCAGAATGCATGTGTCTTTCGAAGACGCAGGTAATTCACATTGTTTCATTATTTATCGTGTCAACTTAGTCGCACGCTAGTCTAAATTTGCAGTTGATGTATGTGAAACAATGACAATATTGTAGTGGGCACAATAGTAGCGCATGTTTTTTTTCACTGGTAAACTGATTGACGCAAGGGAAGCAGTGATGGTAAATATAATAGTACAATAGACGTGCAAATGGAATTGTACGATTATTGTGACAGTTATGGAGCTCACTGTTAGCATTCATTACAGGAATTTATTATTGCAAGAGATATATAATTAACGGTTCACGAAAAGGCAAATTTAATGTAATATATGAAGTACACGATACAATCTCTGATTGAGAAATTATGAATTTTACCGGGAATCGGGTGGATTCAATAACGTACGACCGATGTAATTAACTATTATCACGGCCGACGACGCTTTACTTGAAATTTTCATCGAATAAATTCCTACTCAGAGAGAATTCATACAATAATCCAGTAACTAGTGATGTGAAAAGTTTTAATCGAAATAAAATTTTCCGTAAAAAGTTTTCCCCTTACATGGTAAAAAAAAATGCGAGAAACTCTTTCCGTCGACTGATCGCAAACTTGGAATAACTAAAAATCTGGAATCAGATTCGAAAGGTGGCAAATGGCATCGGGGACGAAATTAGAATGTCCGCGACGGGGCAATAAGAGCCAATTAGCGCCCGGCGTCATTTTGCAGTTCGTGGAAATTTGATGTCGAGTTGATGAAAAATTAATTGCCAAGAATAAACCGCGAAATCCGATTGTATCGGCAATGTACTGAGTTAGTATTTAACATTCAATAAGCCGGGGAGTAAAACCGCGAAAGCGCGTGCACACAGAGACAGAGAGCCGAGCGATCAATAGTCGCAGCAAATAAGAGCACAACAAGAGATAATGGGTCGCAGCCCGCAAATCTTGCCCTCTCGGCTCGGATAATTGAGTTATAGCTGCTGCTCTCCAGCGAATTAAAATACAGATCTATTAAAGCGCCACCGCGTCGGCTTTTTTATTCGAGCGCGCCTTCTCGTGTCCTTTTATTTTTTATCTCCTTTTCAATTTGCCTTCGCGGGACGCGTGCGTCGCCCGAGGTCGTATTGTGTTTAATCAAATCTGAAACGACAACGGGACCGATTCGAGCACCGCACGATGCATTCGCGCAGAGAGAACGGACGATTTTACTTCACCTTCCGTTTCTCTCGTTGCGCCCGCTTAACTCGATTCGTCAATCGGCGAGTTCTCGACGACACGGACAATTCGCCAACGGTCGCGTAATGCGCGCTCGACGCCGAGAGGGACAAGTTTAAAGCTATTTCGCGCGCCGAAATCCGCGCACGGACTTTTTCCCAGCAGTCGCGCGACTTTCAAACTACGAAGACGATTGTTCTCGAGCGCGCAGTAAGGCGGTAGATTACAAGGACTGTTGCTACTCTCCGCGCACTTTACATAAGTAGACTTAAATGCCTTTCTGTCGCGATTCCGTTTGCCTGGCACTATGCAGCTTCGCCAGGCGAATCCAGGCGCAGATTCGATGCGTGACCGAAAAATAAGCGTCCCAGATCTGTGACTCGTGGGTACGACACTATTCTGCTGCTCGACGCCAAATGTACCCGTGATTTTTTTATTTATCGCCTAACATTTACCGTCTAATGCCCAAAGCGCACGGGAATCATCTGTTCGTTGTTCTGGCGTCTGTTCGTTCGAGTTGTTCATCAAACTTTTCGGCCTGTTAGGATCACTGCAATGTTATCGCGATAACTTCTTAAAGATATCAAAACTTTGAGCGAAACTAAAACGCCTTTCGTACTATACAGCAACGTAGCGAATGATGAAACGGACGATAGTAAACTTGTGTATCTATAGGTCATGAAACCAAAGTGCATTGGAAACTTGAGTCGATATTCAGTGCGTGGAAACTACATTAAAACATCTGGTGATAGAAGGAGTTGGTTGGAAAACCATCAATCAACAGCGGAATGCAGAAGGTTTCTTTATTATCCGTAATTGTGATTCGGCATTGTGCAAGATAGTTTGAAAAAGAGTAATAACAGTCGGGTAAGGGGGCGACGATAGATGGAGAGAGAGAGAGAGAGAGAGAGAGAGAAAGTTTAATTATACCGCGTGCCGGCGCGTAGGCAGCCCAATCAATAGTTCGCAAACAGTTTGCCGGCTAAGGTGTATACACAGGTACACGCGGGCAGCGCTATTGTAAAGCAAGTTAGGCGAAGGTGAGCAATTGCTAGTCCCGAGTTGTCGTTTCAGATTCTGTGCAACACAGGTGGCCTGACAGACATACCAAGCAGACTGCCGTCGGACCTCGAGCAGTTGTCACTGTCTAAGAACAACTTCTCGATCATCCGCAGCGACGCGTTCGCGCGGCTGCGCTCCCTCAGGAAGCTCAGTCTCGACAACAACCTCGTGGGCATCATCAAGCCGTTCGCCTTCCGCGGCCTCAGCAAGCTCGAGAGCCTCTCGATACAGCACACCTCGCTCGCGCACATCGACCAGTTCTCCTTCACCGCGCTCCAGAACGTCAGCAGCGTGATCCTCGCCTACAACAAGATCGCCTACATCATGGGCAAGGCCTTCGCCGGCAGCTCGCAGATCCAGTACATCGTGCTCAGCCACAACCCGCTCAAGACCATCTACAGCAACGCCTTCTCCGGGCTGACTTACGTCGATCATCTGCTGCTGCCCGGCGGCATCAGGAGCATCGAGCCCGACGCCTTCAACGGACTCGAGTACGTCGGCCAACTCAAGCTCACCTTCATGGACCTCGAGGGCCTCAAGCCCAACACTTTTCGCGGACTCAAGTGAGTTGCGATCCACCCGCGCGTAACTTTGTGCTTGCAAGTCTCTGATTTTGTGGCTGTTCGCTCACCACCGTGGTCCTGTTTATCGGGTCTTGCGGCTTTTCCCAGATACTTATCGCTTCTCAGTTCTTTTGCTCGTTGACGAGTGCATGCAAAAGAACATCGTTTCAACTACCGCCCAAGTCATTCCCTTTCGATTTCATTTCTTGACGTACGTGAATCGTTTTGCGATAACGGCGCCTGACTGCCGTTGTATGGGATCTTCAGCTTTGCAAAAGCTAAGATAATCAGTATGTCGCTACATCTCATTTTGTGCCTTTCGTATTATATCGTACTCAAGTATCCTTTCGAAAATCACATTTTCATGTCAGTATATTATGTGACACGGATGGCAGCAAATATAATGAAGGTATACAACGGATAACTAGATTTTACCGACTATTCATTCGACTTTCCTTGCCTTCTTTTCTAAGAAAATATTTGTTCGTGTTTGAAAATGAAAATATTAAAGTTGACGGAAAAAGTTATCAAAGAAATTCGCAAATTTTAAGCACGTTTACTTTATTGAAAACTGGAAAATTTGAAGCAAAGTGAAAAGGCGTTTGTTTTTATTCGCTTGTTAACGAGGAGAACGCGACATATAAATTCAACTCCTACTGAGATGACGTACAAATGCAATTTGATTAACGAAGAGGTGCAGAATTTCCCTTCAATCACATCAATTAAAATAAAAAATGTCGACCGTCTAATACATTGCGAATTCTCAAGCACGCCATTATCTATATATTAAGCAACCTAGTTATTACAACTATAGATTTTTCTTCAACATTGATTTTGGCTTTGTGCTACTTTGTCAAAGCGTAATAAGCAGAGTTCTGAAGGCGAGGATTTCTCTTACAGCACAGCTTTCGAAATTGAGCAAAGTATAGGCACTTTAACCATGTCAAAGCTCTTGTTAAGTCTCGCTTTCATAGTTAAATAAGAGTCAAAAGGATACTTCTGAACCAGCGCCAAAGGCTGCATCTATTAGTTGCGGCTAGATTATAAATTAGGTTTATACAACGACGCATGTGCACGTCGTTACGCCTAAACTTATTTCATTTGAGATAAATTTTTAAATAAAGATTGTCAACTATATTTTCTTTTCAATTGAGATTGCGAACAATTTGGACTTTGAACGAGTTGTGTGGTTTGTTGGCGGAGATTCGATAGTAAAATAAATAAAAAGAAATGCAAAAATAACTCGGAAAAAAATGAATATTTGAAACAATATGAAACGATATGGAAGATAAAACAATGAAAACAAATAATTTGCAGAAACGTGAAGAACCTAATGATCCAGACGAGCGACCTTGGAATCATCTACAAAGACGCCTTTTTCGGTTTGGAACACATCGAGGCACTGAATATCCTGAGCAACAAGATCGACGCGATCGAGGAGTTCCACTTGGCCTCCAATTTCTCCATCAACGTACTACGTTTCCACAAGAATCACGTGCTGCGCGCGCCCAAGTACGGTGACGCCACGTTCCACGTGAACACGATAAGCGCCGACGGCAATCACTTTCCGTGCGACTGCCAAATCCACTTGGTGCTGGAGAGCGACTTCGTAAACGGCTCGGTGGACGAGTTTCGCAAGCACAACTTCTGCATCGCGACCGCGGACATCAATGGCATGAACATGAGCTTGGTCAATCTTGACTCCATCGCGAGCTGCCACGACCGACTGATGAAGGACAATTACGGCTCCGGAGTCAGCATTGACTTCGGTGCCATAAGCTTCGTCGTGCCCATTGCTTTTTACCTGGCGAGGCTTCTTCTCACGTGACTTTCCTCGCCTCTCCGTCACCTACTGTTGGTTGTGCTTGCCTATATACATATCGTGCGTGTAACACGGCGGGCGATCGCGTGCTCGACTCTAAGGTTGTGCTCGTTTATACGACGAATGTTGCTCGCCGACGAGGCTTCTTCGCTTCTTCTTCTCCTTCCTCTTCTTGTTGTTTTTTCTAGTTTTTTGTTTTTTTGTTTCGAGCCAAACAGCTTCCAGCGCTCCCGTGCAGTCAGTTTGCTTTTGTTCTGCGAGGCAGTACGCAAACAGTAATATCACTGAACGAGAGTTGTTGTGCATGATGGCGAGCGAGCGCGCTAGGTCGGAGCGTACATTGAGATTTCTACTTGAAAATGAAATAAACTAACGCCGCGACCGCGTGACAGTTTCCAATTCAATTTCGTTCTATTTCTCGCGGGGAAATTGTTGAGTCCGCTTGTTTGTCGTGCAATCAGAGAGCCGAAATCTCATCTGCCAAATACTTGCACGTACGGATATATTATATTATTATATATATAAAACCGAAGTAATGTCTGACGCGCGCGCTATGTATATACACGATAGCTACTCGTCAATTTCGCCCTGGAGTAAGATTGTTTAATTAAACGTCACGTTATTGTTAATCGATTCACGATATATACTCGGGCAACCCGACTAATTGTTTTCCTCCACTGCGTTTGCGGTACTTTTCGCTTTTTATCGTCAAGCTCCGGTCGCCGCTCGAGATATTTTTGTTAAGTAAAACAGCCCAGTGCATGCGTGCGGAATTAGCTAATTAGAAGGTTGTTGTTCGAGATAAGCGCAATTTTGGTGACAAAATGTTAACAGTACTACGGTCGTTTCGAGGCTAAAAGCTACTTTGAGCTCGAAATCATTATGCATTAAATTGACAGCTCAATATATATCGTTGTTAATTTTGGGGACGACATGTCATTGACGCAAGTAGTGAAAACCTGATATTACTTTTTCGATGCTGTTTGTGAAAGGAATTGATTGCTCAACGCGACTACTAGCAATCAAAAAAAATCAAAATTTTTAGCGTTTGTAGATCATATCTGATTAAACTAGTCAATATTATACTAAATTTGAATGTAATGTTCAGTAATATTGAGCTTGCGAATGTTTTATAAGAAGTATTTGTTTTATCATCTGATATAGCTTACAGAAAATAGCCACTTTTAGCTTGTAACAAAAATAATCTCGCATAATTGTACGACGAAAGGTAAAGGATAGTTTGCTCCCGTCACACTGTTTTTGTGGCATGATGTAACAGTATGTAACACAAATTCATTAGTTTATATTTGTGGATATTCAATTCGATACTGTTAATGGAAAACAAAAATTTATTTTTATAAATAAGAGCAAAAAACCTTTAGCTAACTCATTCAATCTGCAGCCGTGGAATATACTATGTCTGACTAAACGCGGATTTGTTCTCCTTAGACGTATGTCGCCGTTGCCATTTATCAAGTATTTCGATAAAAATATGTTCAAATAAAATAGCTTGTAGTGTGTAATATCCTGAACACAGAAGAAAGTATTCAAACGAATGAAAGTACTAGAATATGAATGAAATAGAAAAATCAGAGGCTCGTTGCGTCTTGATCTTTCGAAATATTGATTACGTAATTCATAAGTTTAATAATACTTTATCGTTATAATGAAACTGTATAATGCAAATTACACATGTAAAGCATAACTTCATGAAGTATATCGAAATTCACTTAATGAGCTTTGAACGAAAATGATTACGCTGAGAACAAACCACTTGCGTATCAAAAACGCGTTAGTGGACAAATTTATGCAAAAACCGATTTTGAAGGTTTCGAAGTATAATGAAAGTAAAACAATAGCTTATAAGAATTTTTGAAGTCTATATTATTCTTATGCGCGTAAAAAATATATTTTAAGTGAAATTAGAGTCTGTCACCTTGAAATTCGAACCAGACATCCTAAAAATAAAATTGATTTCGAGTTGTATAGATTATTTTTTAATCAAAACATTAGAATCCCACTTGTATAAATAAAATTACAATTTCGAATAACCAGTTCTAGGCAAGCCAATTTACATATCAATAAAAAAAAGGTTGGTGATATTTATACATGAAAAATACGGTACATATTCGCAAGGATAAATTTACTTAACGTAGGTTGGCCTAATGCTAATGACATTTTATCTTTGAATCGAAATTTAATTGAGGCAATAATGCTTTTAAACGAAACTTACTTACACCTACATACGCTTTGCAGAAGATTGATCACATGTTACTAATTTGTTATTCATCAAATGAGTAGAAGTAAATACGAACGTATACATATCGCATTGAGTAATTTCGCAAATGCAAATAAGAACGATTTGCAAAATACTGCAAATAAATGATATGTTTGCCGAACATTACATATCACTTATTTGATAAAGAAACCATTTGGTCACCGCGGTTTTTGTTCATATGGCGATAGACTCTAAAAATCTGCTATAAGTATGATCAAAAAAAGAAAGTATTGTATTTTTAAGTCTTTCGAATTTTCATAGTGATTTTGCAACATGAAAGTATTGTCGATAAATCTATAGGCTATTTCAAATTATATATTTGAATGATAAGCCGCTGTTTTAGAATTTGATATGAAACGGTATATATTCTCATTAAATTGTATTAGAAATTTAAAATGGAGTTTGAAAATATTGATCTGAAGTATTTTTAATTAAGATAATGTTCTTATATTAACAAAGAAGCTACCTGATTGTTGCATATTATTAGAAAGTAAACATCATTTACTTTTTTATAAACATTCTCTATTAAACCGATTTATTTTTATCCTTAAATTTGTTATAAAAATTCCGCTCTTGACGAGGGTTGTGCCAAGTATACCTTGCGCTTAACAGTTGCTAGAATATTACATCAATTTAGATTTATAGTGTCGAAGGAAGTAGGATAGCTAAAATAATTTATAGTTCGTTAAAATGTCAATTTTTGCGATGTCCCCAATTTATGTCACCGACCATGAATAAATTTTGCAGAGTGAAAAGAACGACGTATTGCACATGAAAGTTTTACGCATGCAGTCATATATGGTATACCGAATTGAACGTGCAAGGTTGTTTCTTCATCACAGTTCTTCTTTGCTGATTTATACTTTATAAGGCTTTTGCCAAAGTAGACGATAATAGTAAAAAAGGACTGAAACTTTTATATACATTTTTTCAATTTTCCTTGATAAACAATGTAATTCAATGCTTGGATTATAAATCGAGATAAAAAGATAGAACAAGCAAACGAAAAATAGAACGTTTTTCAGCATTTGTAAGTTCTAAAAAACAATCAAGATCAAGTCCTATTTTCAAGCTGTATGGCAAACTATTGTATAAGAATTTGCTTGGCCTTCAGTCAGCATACTAACCGAGGACCAACCTAGCTTGTATTTTTTATTAATGTCAGCAAAGAATGTATACGCAAATCATCCTTCCGTCATATAGTTATTGTGGCTCTGAAATGTTCAAGAAGATATAATAAACCAACTAAATTAAACAATAAACAAACTATCGTATTTCTATAAAACATCAAAAATGATTTTTAACTTGCAATTTTCGTATTTTTACAATATAACAGATTTTTATTATTTACAAAGATGGATAATTTCATACACTCTGCATTCCTATATCAGTTTTCATCAATAGTAATGAAATATATTAATTTCGGTCCTACGTTTTTTCAATGAATATATTCATAATTTGAAGCTAATATGTATTTATCGATTTGATACTCGTAATTAATTTAATTTTGAGCAGCACTAGCTATGGGTTTTGGAGGAGTTATATCCTGATATTCTCCTACTGCTATTTCATAGTTGCCATCATAACGAAGAGGTTTGATTTCCCAAGGAAGTTGCATCTCTATATCAGTAATTACAATACCAAGATCTTCAAGAGTCGGCACACCTTTTATAATTTTATCGCTTGTATGGTCCTGTATATAAAAAATTGTTCTTCAAAGCAAAATGTAAGTAAATTATTTAATAAAAATATGTTCACTTGACACATTACCTTTTCCAAACCTTCCCAATGTAGGTATCCAATAGGATATGCAGTACTTAACATTTCCGTGAGAGAAACTTTCAAATTAAAAAGAGGGGTGTACTTTATGTTCAGTCTCCGATATCCATATTCAACAGATTCACGCCTCAACATTTCATGAAACCAGTCAAGTAAGTCTGACAGTTTGTAGCGATTAGATCTTTAATTTTATCATTTGTTAAATTTGTTGTTAATTCATACATTAATAAACTTTTATAATAGCCTATTTTTTCTCACCCTACAAATTGATATGTTCTACCAGCACTCTTATAGTCTTTAATAACAGCTACAATCCCAGCAGCAACATCTCCAACCCATACAGGTTGTTTTTCAATATCTTCACCTTTATTTTTGCCTAATGGCAGGCCTCTAAATAAACATTTTATACTATGATATAGAAAAAAAATATTTAAAAAAGAAGTAAAAAATGAACCTCATATGGAGTCTCCATCGATGAGAATATGCTACTAAGAATCGATCTTCAGTTCCATACACATCAGATGGACGAATGATTGTGGCATCTGGAAATTCTCTTTTGACTGCCCATTCTCCTTCCCATTTGGATTTCAAGAATTTGGATCCATCTTCTAGAAAGATTGGCTACATAAAAGTAAAATTGTAATAAATGTTATCTCATTTTAGAATAATACAATTATAAATATTCTACTATTTCTGCACCTAGCACTCCTACCTCAGGTTCAGGATTAGCATTAAGACAGGAAAGATGAATGAACCTTTCAACTCCATTTTGTTTACAAATTCGAGCAAGCCTGGCGGCACCGTCTACATGAACATCATCGTATTTAAAATTTTTGGTTTCCCAATCACATCCTATGCAATTGATGACAACATTGGAATATTTTATGCATTTTAATATTGAGTCTTCATCTCTCAAGTCAAAGGGATGAAATAAAACTTGACCAAGATCACCACATAATTTTAAACTTTGGACATCATAAAAATCCTTTCTATAAGGAATAATAATCTGAAAAATTTCATAAATTTACCATTAAAAATAATAATGAGTAAAACTTGCTTTGCAGAATTGTCATGACATTTAAATAAATAAATTCACTATTAACAAGAATGTACACATTGTCTAAAAAACTATTGAAACTACAAGTTAGCACATTGTTTATTGAATCTACTTAATAATTTATCGTTAAAAACATATTAAGATAAAGCTTATACCTGAGTTCCCATTCTTCCTAATCGCCCAATCACATGTTTGCCAATGAAACCATTACCTCCAAAAACAGTACACACAATACCATTAAATGAGCTACGTCCACCAGTTCCTCTCTTCATGTTAGCAAGGGATGGGTTCTTGATAATCCTGGGTTTCTGCGAGTAATTACATACTTGAACTGAAGCTACTGCACCAATGCCAGGTGCCTCTGAAAGTAAAACAATAACAAATGATTATTGTTGATAGTTATATAATAAATTAAGTTTCTATGAGAAATGACACATAAATAACCATAACATATGCTTTAAGCAGATGAAGCAAGACAGTTTATCCAAAATGAGATATATGTGATACGAAACAACTTACTTGCAATTTGTAAAAAAGTCTTGGGTATCAACGCTGCCATTTTCAACCTGGGGCGAAAAAGTACCGATGCGCGAGATACGTCTGCTGCATCGGCTATTTGTACATTTTACAAAGTACCCCGTTAGCTAGCGCCATCTGAAATGAACACACTTACTTTACTGCAATCGATAATAAAGCGTTTTACTTACCATAAATTTGAACAGTAACAATAAATTTACATTTTTCGATTGCTTATTTATAACAATTTATGTACTCTAACGAGATTAAATAACTAGTACATTTTACTTTTTACTGATCCATAACCTATTTGAGTGTAACCTGAGTTATAATCAGGCAGTTGTAAAATCGATTTTAATTTAACTGAATTTAAACTCAATTCTCATATCACCACGCGTTAGTTTTCGTTTGCTAAAAGATGCAAATATATATTTTCTAAGATGTAGTCCAAGGTTATTTTATAATTTTACGAAACAACAGAAAATTTCCAAAACAACATTTTGGAGCAACACGCGACTCAGAAATAAGGGAGTCTGCGCGCAAGTGAAAGCGCACAAACGAAATCCTACAGAAGGCAGTTTTGCTTTGCGGACCGGCGCACTGCTGACTCCTGCGCGCGCGAGAGAGACAGAGAAAGCCAGTGAACTGTGGAGCAACCGAAGCTGGATCCGCGAGTGTGAGCAGCAGCATCACAGCACACACGGTGTCCGGGTCGCGTCAGGCGCAGGTGCTGATTTACCGCTTGGCGCAGTAAAGTATGATGTAGAGGTGCAGCGTACTCCAAGTCATACAGGAGAGAGAACGAAGCAGCGGCAAGTGCGGTTAGCATGAGGAAGCGTTCAAGGAACAGTCGCTCCTCGTCGAGTTTTGCAGGTCATTAGTAGTAGTTAGAAAGTGTTCCGCGCTAGAGTAGATCAAGAGGGGCGACACATTGGTAGTGACGAAGGCGGCGAATTTGGTGGTGTTACGATGAACGAGACGCGGCTGGCATGACATGGGAGTGCCCGCCAGAGGAGCACTCGCGGCTGTGGTGGCCGCGGCCGCGTTCCTCGTTTACCTCAACAGCCTCTCGTGTGGCTTCGTCTTCGACGACATATCCGCCATCAAGGATAATCGCGATCTCAGGCCCCACACACCACTCAAGAATGTCTTTTTCAACGACTTCTGGGGTACACCTATGCATAAGGTAAGAGACACGTAGGTGCACATAAACAGGTTGTGTTTTTGCCGAGACGGCTGCCTACGCTGCAGGGGTCACTAAACTTGTCTGCTATACGCACGTTCCTATCCCTCTCTCATCTCCCTCGATTCTTCCTTTCTTCGCGTAATAAAAGAGTTTCGATGTGAATTCAATAACGTCTATCGCGTATTTCATATTTCGTAGTTCATGTTAAGGCATCGACCCGCCAAGGAAAAAGGAGTTCTTTAGGAAAAGAACGCGAGGATATTAGCGACGACAACGACGGTAGCAGCGGCGGTGGCGCCTATGACTCGTATTGATCCGCTCTTGCGCTAGCGACGAGCTACGTCCGTCCCTGTCCGTTCTCCGATTCTCTCTCCCTCTCGCTCTCGCACACGCATCCGTCACCTTCGTATATAGCCCTTACACTTGCCGGCCGGTTATGTGGGTCCTATTTTTTTCCGGCGACGACGCTTCCGATTGATTCTGATTGCTTGTGGGCAAATGCCGTTTCTCTTCTCTCCTGTCTCTTTTTTCTTGCATTACTTTGCTCTCCCTTCTTCGTCTGTTCATTGTCGGCTTGATATCTGGAAATCTGTGATAAATGATGGACTTGCTTACGGCAAGGCTTTCGTCCTGCTGGAATTGTTTAACGCGTCTACTGAAGATAATTTTGATACATGACGTTGATTTCATTTGCAATGCTTCATTGAAATAAATGCACATCATTTTTGTCGATAAAAATACGATGTGCTACTAATGAAATTGTCGATTTCGAGCGCATCAAAGCTGGAAATATATTCTCTCTTTCTCTCTCTCTCTCTCTCTCTCTCTCTCTTTTTCTCAGATTTTTTAATAAATTGGACATTGACATAAGTGCATACATGATATGCACTTTCATATTGAAAGCCATTAAATCTATTAATCCTAGCGTGTACCGAACAGATGTTACCAACAATACAACTACAGTAACGTATATTTATATATATATTTGTGTACACAGCGTGTATTTTAATTTATTTGCTGGATGCAAGATTCGAATATATACGTACATTCTAAAAACCTTTCACTGCAAATTGACGAGTGGGTACATATTTGATATGTTTTAATATTCCTCGAAGCCGTTTTCAAGATAATCAAAAACTTCACTTACGTTAATTAACAAACAGATAAAATATCGTTTATTCCAGAGGTAGAAAAAGCACTGGTAAACATTGAAATGACATTTACTTAGCTTACAGTATCTAACTTGAATAATACATAAATTTTCATTTATACATCTAACTATATTGCTTTGTTCTCGATCGTTTGCATCAGTCGAACTTGCAACTAATAATCGTTCCATTATTCCTTCCGCTTTAATTATTTGCGTAAATCAGATCTGGCTCGCTTAGAACTGGCTAAAAATTTTCCGACTAAGCTCAGACGAAAAAAACTTATCGTTTCGCTCTGTGAAAAGGCCGAGCAGCTGATGCGTATTGAAAAGTACCATATCCCGGTGCGGAGCACGGACATTCTCATCTCTGAACGCACGAGTGCGTTGCGAATGGGGTAATTCATTCTTCGAAAAAATTGCTCTGCGTCAATCAAAAATTACTCGGCTCAAAGAATTCTCTCAAAATAAATAATTAATCGCGAGTAATGCGTTCAATCAACGATGAAACGGTTCGCACAATGCGTCTCGCATCGATGACACGTAAACCAAACGTTTCGACACTCGAAGCGTCGGAGCTCTATGAGATTAGCATTATTTGACGGGGCGCAGGAAACGAACGGCCGAGTTGCCACCGGTAAAGAGAATAACGACACGATTAAAGGTTCTCGCTTTGCCAGTGGTTCTGGCGGGGCACAGTTTTTAATTAATAATTATTGACAAGGCAGAGTTCGCAGAGGGCGGGCAAAGGTTGCGGGGCGCGATAACACCAAAGAAAGAGTAGCAACGAGAGCACGCTCATAATCAAGGATATCGTGCTGGTTTTTGACGTGTTCACAGGAGCAATCGCACAAATCGTACCGGCCGCTTTGCGTTCTCACATTCCGTTGGAATTACATGATACATCAATTGGATCCGATGGGTTATCATCTTCTCAATGTCGTTTTGCACGTCGGAGTGTGCCTCTTGTACTTCAGGTAGGTTACTACTGCTAGCCTATATACATATAACGCAGCGTGGCTTGAATGAGGTCTGCATGCATATCGATCATGGCCCCGGGACCGACCGCCGAGTTTCCGCCTCTCTTCTCCAATTGAAAGGAGCTTTGCATATGCAAAGGACGCGCTCGCGTTTGCAATGAAAAAAAAATAGTAGAATAATATATATTCATATATATGTACACACACACACACACACACACACACACACGGACACGGACACGGACACACGGACACACGGACACACACACATATAAAGAGAGGAAAAAAAGCGAAGCACCACCGGAGAAAAATAAGTACGCGCGGCTCTTGAGTTCTTGTTAAAAACGAGGCGAAAATAATTTCTGCCCGTTAGCTATCGCGAGTTAGCTCAGTGTTCAGCTGTTGAATAATGAAACTTTCGTAATTTTACAAAGCCAAACGAAGCTATTACCGTGTACCTCGCTGCTCCTACCCGCGCCCTCGCGTTCCTTTTTCGTCAACAAATAAAAATCGCTTTGAAGTTGCCAGCGACACGGGCGCTTCCGTTTGCCGATCATATTATCATATTAAAAAAGAATATTCCCGCAAAAGCCTTCGGCTTTCTCTCCTCGATCGACAAACTCGCCGATTATTGCTCAGCTCATTCTTTCGTTCGACTCTTTTCTAATTGACGCGGTCGGTGGTTTTATTCGTAACTCAATTTGCAACGATTATCAACTGTTTCGATTCGTTTGCATTCGGCCTAATATCCGCATGATACCAACACTGATCCGAACGTATATAATAACTGGAATTGCTTTTGTTTGAATGACAGCCGTATGCGGTAAAATTAATTAACGTACGATAACAAATTGAAAACGATAAATATAAATCTATCGATTTACGTTACTGAATAAATAGCAAAAGCGAAAATATGGTTCGTCTCTTTTATTTTTATATCAGTATACGGATACTAATTGAATTTTGCAGGATATGTTTGATGTTTCTACCAGACATAGCGAGTTTCGTGTCGGCGTTCCTGTTCGCCGTTCACCCCATACACACGGAAGCGGTAAGCTGCCGCGCCTTTAATAAGTTGACGGTCTTAACGAGGTCGATTAAAAACAATGAGGTTTCATAACAGCGTGTGATTTCTTTTCTGTGGCAGGTAACGGGAGTCGTCGGCCGAGCAGAGACCCTGTCGTCCTTATTTTACTTGGCGGCTTTGATGACATATACTAAGTGTTGTAGAAGTAATAGATCCACAGGTGAGAGCTTTAGCGACGAGCTTGAAAGCTCCTTTGCAATCTATTATGCCGCGACAACGACGACTACGACGACGCTCTATATATGTACTAAGCCGGCTCTCTTTATTAATTGCAGGTTGGCGATCATTAATAATGTCGATGTTCTTTGTGTTGGTCGCCATGCTGTGCAAGGAGCAAGGCATCACGGCCACCGCCGTCTGCGTTCTCTATGAAATCTTCGTTGTACAAAGGGTAAGTGTGTCGACGCTTGTCCACACAGACTCAATTAAAGAGCGAGCTGTCATTCTCACGCGACGTTCCCCTCGCCTTGCTCTTTCTGTACGCAGGTTAGAGCTTTGGATATTGTATTAGCTGTTAAGTCGGCCTTCGACGGCAAGAAAATCTCGCCGACGTGGTCGAGCGAGGGCACCAAACGGCTTACGGTCGTTACCGTCGTCACCTTTAGTTTGTTAATTCTAAGACTACACGTAATGGGTTCGAAGTTACCCGTATTTACCAGGTAAATTGGATCAATTTCACTATGGCTGTATAAGACGATCATTTGAGCTGACCCTAACACTTTTCTCGCGCAGATTCGACAATCCTGCATCCGTAGCACCGACGCCTACGAGGCAATTGACGTACAATTACCTGGCAGCTGTTAATCTACGCTTGCTATTCCTTCCAATCGACTTGTGCTGTGACTGGACGATGGGAACGATACCATTAGTTGAAAGTTTATTGGATGTTAGAAACTTGGCCACTTTAGCGGCCCACTCTATGGTGATAGGCCTCTTGGTCGCAGCTATTTTAACGCGTAGTAGACAGACGTCAATAATTATCATCATGGTTGTTATCTTTCACAGCTTCTCTGTAAGTTTGTTCATCACGATTCAACGACTAATTTATTTCGCATTGTCTTTTAGAGTTTGGCGATGATGATTCTTCCATTCTTACCGGCTTCAAATCTATTTTTCCCTGTTGGATTCGTCGTAGCCGAGCGAGTATTGTATGCACCTTCCATGGGATTCTGTATGTTAATTGGATACGGCTGGCACATTCTTTCCGAGAGAAGGTAACTTCCTTCTCTTTTTGCATATACAAAGAACTCGGTATTAATTGATTTGTTACTTTTACTTTGCAGTAAAAAATTGTCGGCAGTTTTTTTATTGACGCTACTAACGTCTCAAGCAACAAAGACTTACATGAGGAATTACGACTGGGTAGACGAGTATCAGATATTTATGTCTGGGTTGAAAGTCAATGATCGTAACGCCAAACTTTTCAATAACGTCGGTCATGCCCTGGAGAGTCAAGGTCGTTTCACCGAGGCTTTGAACTATTTTAATATGGCTGTGCAGGTTCAGGGCGACGACATTGGCGCTCATATTAATGTCGGACGAACTTATAATCACTTGAAAATGTTCAAAGAGGCCGAGGATGCGTACTTAAGGGTAAGTTGATATTACCGCGAGTTTGAATATGCGTATATCGAAAGTGAGAGAAAACAAATAGCTTGAAATTAGATAGTGAACGTCATAATTGATATCCGTATCATTCTCGAGTGGAGGCATTAGTATTCCACTTTGCAGTCAGTATGGGTACGTTGTGGAAAAAGATCAGAGATTATGATGAAAATCTATCAGTAAAATGCCATAAAAGCTGTCACATTCATTATACCTTATCAAAGATGAGGCACGAACGTAAAACATTTGATGTTTCATAATGCCGTTCTTTATAGGCGAAATCATTACTGCCGAAAGCGAAGCCAGGCGAGTCATACCAAGCGCGAATCGCGCCGAATCATCTTAATGTGTTTGTGAATTTGGCCAATCTGATAGCGAAAAACGCCACGCGCCTGGAGGAAGCGGATCTACTGTATAGGCAGGCAATAAGCATGCGAGCGGATTATACTTTGGCCTACATCAACCGCGGTGACGTTTTAATCAAGCTCAATCGCACGAAAGAGGCTCAGGAGGTTTACGAACGTGCCCTATTTTACGACAGCAATAATCCGGACATTTATTATAACGTAAGTTTTCGCGTGAGCGAGAGAGCAAGCTAGTTGGCTGGTCGTAAAGCTTTTTATATGACAGTCGCCCATTAAATGCCATGGTAAATAATGGTGCCCCGATCGCTTTTCTCTCCGCAGTTGGGCGTTGTGTTTTTGGAGCAAGGCAAAGCGTCCCAGGCGTTGGCTTATCTCGACAAAGCGCTCGAGTTCGATCCCGAGCACGAGCAGGCACTCTTAAATTCCGCGATACTGCTGCAGGAGCTTGGCCGGGCGGAGCTGCGCAAAGTTGCCAGGGAAAGGCTTTTAAAACTATTAAGAAAGGTAATGGCGGAGAAAAGATTACATTTGCCCTCATTTGTTCGCCCACTTTAGCTCATTACATTCTCCAGATCATTTTCCCCGAGTACAGCTCAATTATCGTTTACTTGCGCAACTTTCAAATATCCATTGTCGCTTTCGTCCTTTAATAATCTCAAGTCCGTTCGTTCTTGCGTTAAATGAACGATTTGCCAATGTCACCAATTGTAGGACTCGAACAACGAGAGAGTTCACTTTAATCTGGGTATGTTGGCGATGGACGATCACGACAGCGAGAGTGCCGAGCGATGGTTCCGAAACGCCGTGGCTCTAAAAGAGGACTTTAGGTCGGCTCTTTTCAACCTCGCGCTATTATTGGCAGACGAGCAGCGACCGCTAGAAGCCGCCCCCTTCCTTAATCAGCTTGTCAGATTCCATCCGGATCACGTGAAAGGTCTGATTCTGCTCGGCGATATCTACATCAACACCATCAAGGATCTGGATGCTGCCGAAAACGTACGTTCGCACATTGTGCTTTTATACTTTCAATTACATTTCTTTGCAAATTAGCACTTGTTACAGAGCGAGAATTAAACGATTCAATGGTTTGGCAAACTAACGAGCGCATAATACGTTTCCCTCGCTATGATCGTCGTGAATTTTCTTCAACATCCTTTAATAGCAGGTTATTCGTTTGCCTACTGAAGAACTAACGAAAGTTCCCCTATCGGATAGTCGTGCTGGCAGTCGGGAATAACATCGGGAACTTTTTTAACGTAGCCGATTCGAAATAACAGCGTTCCAGTATTAAAAACACATAGAGCGCGTCCAAATAGCAAGGCTCTCTGTTTTCATTGAAAATATCGTATATCACGTTAATGTGACTTTTAAAACTTTTAGAACAAGTTTACTCTTGCACGCAGATGCTTCAATTGCGCACACACCTATCTTATGAATAATGGCCTGTTTCAAAACAAATGTAGTTTAGATAGGAAATTTCTGTAACTTGCTGTACACATTTACATATCAAATCATTTTTATAAAAGCTTATCGGAATCGTATTTCAACGTGACGTTCTTGACGATATATCGGATAAGCAGTTTAAACAATAACAATACCACCGACATTTCGCAAACTCGGTGCTTGTTGAATGTCCTTTAAATCAATTTTCATCTATCTGTAATTGGTCATAATTTAGTACAGTATATTTATAGGGCTATTGCGTTATTCAATATAAAAAACTACCTAAAAATATTTGAGTTTCTCAACGGAATTCGCCAGTACGTCATGTACCAATAAAGAGGTCGAAATAGTAGCTATTATTAACCTTGTGTTCCAAACCCAATGACCCCGTAACATTTGATGCTGATAATAGCTTTTTCGACAACGATGTTATATGCTCTGCTCTGATCAACATTCGTTATATTACATATTATTAGTTCTCGTTGCATAATCAATTGATCTAATGCGATTACATTCGATAAATAGATGGAAAGTTGCAATTGTTATCGGTATTTCTAAGGGCAACGATCAAAAGTAAGTTGTGTCGCGTCAAAAGCTAATCCTGGAAATGTCGTTGAACGTTGCAGTGCTACCGTCGTATTCTACAGCTCGACCCAACGAACATCCAGGGCTTACACAACCTGTGCGTGGTAATGGTGGAGCGGAACAAGCTGGGCCTAGCGGAGCAGTGCTTGCAGCGCGCAGCCGCGTTGGCGCCCCAGCAGGACTACGTTCATCGTCATCTGGCGATCGTGCGAGCGCGCATCAATCGCCTGTCCAAAGAAGAGCTTCAAGTGGTGGGTCTCGGCGACAATCCGGAGATCTTCGACGACTCGTTTTGGCACGATCATCAGCCTCCTCAGGATACCGGCAGAGAGCACGGCCCGCAAAATCGCGACGACGAGTTTTTCAATCATTTAGGGAACAAGGAGCAAGCGCCTGGGGAGGCTACTTTGGGCGCCAGACTTACCAAGAATCTCAATGGTAAGCTTCCAGGCCGCGTCTCTTGCAGTTATATCGGCTTTGATGTACTGTGGACTTTCGACCAATTATTTTTCTGCACAATTTTATTTCAATATTCAAAGTAGAAGTCAATGAATCAATCACGGAATGATACGGATACAAAGTACATAACTATACGAGTAACGTTACATTACTATTTGGGTACTGATTTCCGGCCTCGTATCAACATTTAAATATTTAAATATTATTATGAAAGGTATTTCTAATAAGTACAGCAAAGTTGTCTGAGCTACGTTTGATTTAATTTTGATTATGATACTTTACACTCAATCAAAGTAAAAGCTGTTTCACACTTAACAATTGATTGACTTGTTTGTTAACAACGCAGGTCCGGCAGTAAGCATGGTGGACGATCTGAGCGGCATTGTGGAGTCGCAGCCAGTGTTCGAGCACCACACGCTGAGCACTGGCACGAGTAAGTTTGAGTCGTCGTCGCAACGTCATAAGCGGGCCGTGCGAGCGAAGATTGCCGAGCAGAAGCTCGTTAACAGAAGCGGCGCAACGACAGCCAATGCTGCTGGCGCTACGACAAGGAGCAAAGTCTAAATGTCAACCGTTAAATAGCGACGGATTGGAAAATTTTATGTGCGAATGCGAGTGATGAGAGTTAACCCGCCGAATAATGTAAAGTTATTATATACATATTAATGAGGGTTATGACCGATGGTGTAGTCGTATAGCGCTAATGGTGTGAATATTAAATGAAATGACAGAGTATTGTTTTATATGCTGTATAAATAGGAAATTTTATAAAATATATTTAATGAATTCGTATACTAGTGTCTTTTACTTTCATCCCTAGCTTCCTCAGCGAGCCTCATTGTGTTTTTTTCGTTTCATTAACAATCTGAGTTTACTCAAAATAAAGTTTTAAAATAATCACGATAATGAAAACGTTTTATTTTTTCTTTAAAAAATATCTTCTTATTTTCAAATAAGTTCTGATGAAATAAGATACTTTGAAAAATTTTTTTTGCTGATACAATGACTGGATAATGAATTTATTTTTAAGCTTTAACAGGCTCTCTTTTTAGTAAGTATAAATTGTTCGACCTCAAGCAAACATCCAATATCCCTACTTTATAATTCGTACAATTTTGATTCTTATATTTATACTTTAAAGTCTGACGTTCGAGTAATTTATATTGATGATATAAAGATTTATTTTTACTAGCTATCGTATTTTAACAAAGTGAGTCTGAAGAAACGCTCGGATTTTCGGATGAAAAGTAGATTGAAACATAATATGGAGAGTTGATAATTACGAAGGAGATTAGTAGAATGTCTCGTGACGGTGTTTAATGACCGCGAGGTTCATGCATATATTCCCGGCTGACTGATAAATCACGCGGTGGCGTATTCGATTTTAACTGCTAGGTGCACTCAGCTCCTCGTAATTTTCGCAAGTACGCAGTTTTAGCAAAGTAACAAAAGTCCTGAATCAAGCGAGAGACTTTTACGAGAACAACGTCAGTAGTAGAACACGTGCTAGTTTACGTGTCTTCGTCGTCGCACCGTACGTATAAAGGTTTTTATCGTTCTTTCTACGATAATCAATGTTCTTATGCGGCAGCATAATTTCCACGTCTCAACTTTTGTCTTAATCCAACTATCGAACGGATCTTTTGGCTTTGTTACCCTAATATAATTAGAAGTGCCTGGCATGTGTTAATTAAACGAAGCTATTCCTTGATTCGTTCATTATTTAAACTTTTCGAAGCCGTGATAAGCTCTCTTGTCAATGTTGTTTTCGCAAAAAAAATATAAGGAGAAGCATTGGATATCGATATTCCGATTGGTAGTTGATTGCGAGGAACCGTATGGCAACTACATCGACAGTTAATGTTTAGCTTTGCAGACACCGACTACGAATTTGTTGTGTTGTCAATATTTTAAAATTTTACCATTGACAGATTTTCAATAAAGCAAGGAAAGGCGTGAAAAGAGACGTCAAGTCGAGGTGGTTCGTTAGAAGCGCTCATTTGCAATGCGCGGGCTTTATAAAGCTATATACAGCCATTGATTTATCGAGAAAAGGTCGACAGGAATTATTGGAGTCCTCCGAGGAAGGACGTAAAAGAGGCAACCTTCGAGCGAGCCAAGTTGAAAAAACAGACGGTTTGGTGGGCGGAGTGCGCAAGAGCGATTAGCGGTGAGCGTGAAAATCACAATAGCCTTTGAAGGATGTTTCGTCACGCGGCGAAGGCGCCGCGTTGGTCGAATACATTTCGGCGCTCTTTCTCTCTCTCTCTCGCTGTGCCGCGCGTGAACGAGTGTCACAAACAATGACAGCCGCCGCGGGAGATAGATCTGGCGCGTGGCACGCCGAAAGTATGGCGAGGTCGGGTCGCGACTGGGAGAGCAGACGGTGCGCGAAAATGAACGCGAAAAATAAAGATGAAAAAAGAGAAAAACAAAAATGGCACAAGGGTGAGGGCAGCGAGGAAGGAAAAATAACAGGGGGCATCTTGGTGGAAAAGCAATCGTAGGCGCCTGGGGGCAATTGCATGGTCTGCTGGCCGCGCAGCAGCTCGTAACACACGAGCCGATAAACCGCGGCTGACACCCTCGCTAAACTGCTTAATGAGCACGTCTCGCCCGCTCAGGCGTTGTCGCAGGACGAGCAGTCCGCGTTGTTTTATAAAAGGAGCTGCCTGCCGGCCACCAACTCGCACTTTTACTCGCAAGTACTGGCGACGCAGCTCTCCGTGCCTCGCTCTCTCTCTCTCTCGCTCTCTCTTGCTCCCTCTGTCTCTCTCGTCGCCCGAGCTTGCACGCTACCACTCTCTCGCACGTACACATTTGCGTCCTGCTTTCCCGTTGAGACTCCGCTGCCTCCTGCCGCTACTCTCCGAAGCCGTAAGTCTGCACATGTGTTTTTGCCGGCCGTCGTCTCGCCTGATGCGTTCGACTGATCGTTCGCGCGTCATCCGCTTACGAGCGGCCCGCGACAGTCGCCTTTTTCGGGCTTGACTCGTTCATACGCGCACTCATGCGCGCCGCATCCGCTGACACATCGTCTAATGATAATAAAAAATCAACGCGGCCTAATGTTCACAACCGCCCTTGGCATTTTTCTAATTTACAGTAAGTTTTGTTTTGTCTGGTTGTCATAACGCAGCTTTTATTCAACGTTAATGATCAGTCGCGTCAATTCGCGCGCAGCTATTACGATATGCATGCCACATTCACAGACAATATTAATATATAAACATTTTAGTTGAATGGTGTTAACCGATTAAAATTAAAATCAATGTTTGCACTAACGTTGCCGATTATTGTTAAAATTATCACTGTTAATTAGTGATACCATTAACCCATAGAGGTGCACCGAATATATAACAATCTAACACTGGAGTTTGTCGAATAATAATTACGAAAGAAAAGTTGAAAAGAGAATCCGACTGTTGAGCACGCTTATAAAACGATGGAGTTGAGATCGTAATGTAAAAATGTGCGAGGGAGAAGACGAAGAGCAAAGTATCCGATAATTTCTTCGCGACAGCTAAATGGAAGGGCGAACTTAATTCTTCTTCAAAGTGCAAATGTCTGAAAGGGAATGCTCTTGGGCGCGATTATCATTAAAGAAAGTTTATCGCTAGAGCAGCTCTTACGCGGTTCTCAAAAACTTTCAAGTTTCAAGCTCGAGCGGATGGCCAATTTATTTATCGCGACTCGCGCGAGAAAAAAAGAAATACGGGCGCTGTGGAAAATGTACTCGCTTGGAAGACGAGCGCACGAGTCACTGGGTTACAATTCGCAATGTTACACGCGAATAACACGCCGACAGCGTTGAGTATTCGGAGAGAAGCGCTTAAAGCTATCGTTAGATTTGGCCTATCTAAATGAGCAAAAACCTTTGTCTTTACTCCTTGTTCTTTCTCTTGTTTTCCTTCACTTTATTTTTCTATTTTCTCCGTCGTACGTATTCGCTCTCTCTTTCTCTCTCTATCTCTGTAACGGGACGATTGCTCGATGGACACTTGAAATTTTATCTGTTTTTTTCTCTCTCGACCAATAACACAAGGCTTAAAAAAAAGCTTTCATACAGCGATATCCAAAATCTCGAAATAGTGAGGGAGAGAAAAACAAGCGCTCGTGATATCGCGCGTGTGAACATAGTTGGGCTATCACCTCTGGGCCCGTTTTTCTAAAAATAGAAGTCAATTCGGTCGAGAGTGAGCGAGAGAGCGAAAGAGAGAGAGAGAGAGAGAGAGAGAGAGAGAGAGAGAGAGAGAGAGAGAGAGGGAGAAGAAAGCGACGAGCGGCCGGCTGGGAATACGTGGAGGTGCGAAAACAATGATCGTCGGTACGTTAGCACTTGAACTCGCGCGGGGGAGTCGCGTACACGTGCGTTACAGGCTTGCACGATGGCAATATACAGCGAGGCTGTTGAATCGAGCGTAGTACTGGCTGCGATGCACAAGCGCGCTCGTTAAGTCGTTGCTTGCGTTACTGGGTCGTTATTATACGCACACGTAGTCGTCGTCGTCGTCGTAGTCGCTGTCGTCGTCGCCGTAATCAGCTGCAGACCACGTAGTCGTGCTCAAGTGACGGCCGCTTTAAGTTCCAAATCATTCGCTACCGTCGCCGCCGCTGCCGCCGCCGCCGCCGCCGCCGCCGCCGCCGCCGCCGTCGCTGCCGCCAGCTGATCTCTCGTCCCATCAGCCACTTTCACGCTCGAGCTCCGCTAACGCACAATTGAACTGATCCTCGGCTGCGAGCATTCTCTAAATTTATTCTTAGAATCGCTCGAGAAAAAACCGCGACCAATTGTCACCTAGACAATCATTTCAATACACACATCACGTGAGCTCTGGCTGCAAGCGCCCGGCTCAAAGGATTGTCTAGTTGCGCTCCGACCAATCCTCGCTCTTTTATTGCTTTCGACCTCGCCGCTAATGCCTCCAGAGAGCTTTCAGCACTCTTCCGCTGTTTTTTTCAAACGCAACTTCTGTAAAAATCTCGGACTTTTTTTTTCTTTTTTTCTGTTTACGAGGCTTACATTAAAATTGATCACCCGGATGAATTTCAAGCGAGAATATTTTTACAACATTTACCAGATCCGTTGAAAGTTGAAGTACTTATACTTCAAATTATATCCAAGTTGGCTTTGATAAAATCAGCCAGGCATAGCTCGTAGAGTAACTTTATTGAATAATTTTATCGCGTAGTTTCGAATTTCCGGCCATCGAGACAGCATTATAACTATTAATTTCAAGTGCGCTAAGAAAACATTTTTTTTTAATGAAAAAAGCACCGGTCGCGTTCCGTCGTTACAGATTACCTATGCCCGCGCGTTAAATTAACATACAAATAAGGACAAATTATCATGTAAATTGATACTATAATGTGTAGCTTATATTGCATTAATGAATTATTCTCGCAAAATATGCTCGATATACATAACATACCGAGAATATAGCTTTTCACTTCATATACCGGCATGCAAATGACTCTTCAAATATTATCTAGAGCAAAGTGAGCAGAGTGAATTACGTGCAATTGTTACGGCAAACTACGCATCATCAATTATTATAGAATTTCAGCTAGAACGCAGGTTAGCGTGCAAGCTGATCGTGAAAAGGAAATAATGGTCTTTTTGCAACTGCGATACAGCTACGCATCCTCCACGCGAGTAATCGTTTTGCACAGGTGTCGATTTTTAGAGTGAAGCTATTTGAAAAAAAAAATGCTCTGGGGCATCCGCATGAGAAAGGTAGCGCTCGCGATAAATGTGCCGATATGACATCGACTGCGAGGAAA